CAATCATAGTCTGCTTCTTAGACTTCCATGAGACGGCAGATCCACTCATGGTGAAGACAAATCCTCCAGTAGATCTGCACTCATCAGGTTCTGAGCACCAGCTCGCATCTGAATAGCCTTCGATTACACCTGGATATCCAGTGTAGAATAGGCCCAGACTTGTAGTTCCTTTCAAGTATCTCATAAATCTCTGGACAGCATCCCAATGAAGCTTTCCAGGATTACTTGTGAACCTACTAAGCATTCCTACAGCGAATGCTATATCTGGCCTTGTGCAGCTCATCGCGTACATAAGACTTCCAATGATCTTTGAGTACCTTGCAGCTCATCGCGTACATAAGACTTCCAATGATCTTTGAGTACCTCAGCTGCTCTACTGGTCTTCCAGTGTTCGGTTGAAGCTTCTTATTATAATCGTATGGCACTGACAGTTTTGGCAGGTCGTAGTAGCCATACTTCCTTAGCATGCTCTCGACATAATGAGATTGGGACAATCCAATACCATCTTCGGAGTATATGATTTTGATTCCGAGAATCACGTCCACAGTTCCAATGTCCTTCATGTTGAACTGTGCCGAGAGAAATTTCTTAGTAGATAATACTATCTCCAAATCGCTCCCGATGATGAGCATATCATCCACATAAAGGCAAATAACCACCACATTTCCTTCAGCGACCTTGATGTATAGGCACTTATCAGATTCACTGACTTGATACCCATTGTTGCGGACAACCCATCGAACTTCTCATGTCAGAGTTTTGGTGCCTGTTTAAGTCCATATAATGACTTAACAAGTTTACAAACCTTACCAGGTGGAGCATCAAGTCCTTCTGGTTTCTCCATGTAGATTTCTTCTGTGAGATCTCCATTGAGAAAGGCAGTCTTCACATCCATCTTCTTTCTGAGAGAATCCTTTCGCCACCAGTCTTGCTTTGTACTTTTCAATAGTACCATCAGGACGAATCTTCTTCTTGAAGATCCACTTGCAACTGATAGGCCTTGCACATTCAGGTACATCCACCAGCTCCCAAGTGTGATTTTGGATTAATGAATCCATCTCATCATCTATAGCTTCTTTCCACAGAAGAACGTCTATTGACTGCATTGCTTCTTGAAAAGTCTGTGGATCTCCTTCCACATTATAGGTGATGAAGTCATCTCCAAAATCTTTCTGTCTTCTGACGCGCTTGGAAGATGGTTCGATAACTCCTTCATCATTGACTGGCCCGTCTTGTGCATTTGAAGTATTAGCATTCTCTACTACATCTTTGAGCAATAAGCCTTTATATTTGATAAACTTGTCTTCAAAGAATTCTGCATCCCGAGCTTCAATGATGGAGTTGGTTCCAAGATCCAGGAATCTTCACGCATTGCTATCTCTAGCAAAGCTAAGAAATACACATTTGTTTGCCTTTGGTCCGAGCTTAGGCCTTCTGATATCTGGTATTCGAACGTATGCGAGACACCCCTACACTTTGAGACTATCCAAAGAATCTGGATATCCCAACCATAACTGATGAGGAGTACTATCAGTTTTAGAATAGGGTACTATGTTCAGAATCCAATTTGCCATCAGCAAAGCATCTCCCCAATAGTAGGTAGGTAGACCAGATGTGATCAGCATCGAATTCACCATCTCGGTCAATGTGCGGTTCTTTCTTTCTGCAATCCCATTGGATTGCGGAGAGTACGGAGCAGTAGTTTCAGCAATGATTCCATGCTCCTTGAAGTATGCTTTTGATTCCTTAGATCGGTACTCTCCTCCTCTGTCGCTCCTGAGTCTTTTCACCTGCAGTCCAAGTTGCTTCTCCACTCGAGTCCGAAACTCAACAAATTGGTTAAAGGCTTCATCTTTAGATTTCAGTAGGTAAACATGGCAGAAGCGAGAATGGTCGTCGATGAAGGTGATGAAGTACTTCTTGCCGTCACTCGCCGCCACGAGTGACGAAGCTTTTGAAGTCACAAGTATCTGAATGAATCAGATCCAACAGGTTGGTGCTCCTTGTGACACTTGAAAATGGCTTCCTTGTTAACTTTGCTTGCGCACAAACTTCATATTTCTCAGGTTTGTTACCCCCATATTTTGGAAGTAATCCTAACTTCTCCATGCTGGATAGTTTTCTATAATTTACATGTCCCAGCCTATTGTGCCATAACACAGAGGAGTAAGCAGAAGAGAATACTTCATTTACAACGGGGTTGGGTGCACTCGTACTGATTTTATACATGCCATCAGTACGATATGCATTGTCAAAATACATTTTCTTGAAGGATAATACAGCATTTCCTCCTTGAAAATCCAGCCTCATGCCTGCATCACACAGCATGCTTCCAGAGACTAAGTTTTTGGCAATTGAGGGAACGTGTTTTACATCCTTCAATGTGAGAGTCTTTCCCGAAGAAAGAGTCAGCACCACGGTCCCAGTTCCAAGAACAGAAACCACAGAACGATCAGCCATTGATACGTTCTCTTTGATAGCAACATAAGAAGAGAACATATCTCTATTGGAGCATACATGACAAGTAGCACCCGTATCTAACCACCAACTAGAGATGTTGCTTGGAATTGTTACCTAGAAGAGCATGGCCACACAATCATCAACTTGATTGATATTGTGTGTTGTTTCCTTCTTTGGTGCTTTGCAGTCTTTGGCAAAATGTCCTTGCTTCCCACGGTTGAAGTATTTGCCGCTCCTCTTGAACTCCTTCTTCTGAACGTTCAGATTCTTCGGATTCTGGTTCTTCTTTCTGTTGAAAGACTTTTTTTTCTTGAAATATGAATTATTACCCTTTTCAGAGTTAGCAGCCACCATGTTAGCAGACGCCTTCTGCTTAGCAATGAGCTCAGTCTTCGTGCGAGTCCGAGTCTCGTCCTCGATCCGAATGAACCTCTTCAAATCAGACAGAGTCACCTGTCTTTTTCTTCTTCGAATATCAGTGGAGAATGACATCCAAGATGGAGGAAGCTTGTTGACAATTGCACCAGAAATGAAGGTTTGACAAAGATTGATCTTTTCATCCTTCAGCTTCATAACAAGCTTTTCAAGCTCTTTGACTTGAGGCAAAATCTCAGTATCATCTTCGAACTTCAAGTCCAGAAATTTGTCAATAAGGTGAGATTCGGACAGCTTCTCCTCATCTTTGTACTGGTCCTCCAGAGCATTCCAGATTCCCTTTGCAGAGGGCTTGTTGGTGTAAGCATCTGCCAGATGATCGGCCAGGCAGTTAAGAAGATAACTCCTGCAGAAGTGATCATCTCTAGCCCAAGAGGCTTCAGCTTCAGAGTCTTCTTCAGAGTCAGGTTTTTCTTCAGAAACCACATAGTAGATTTTCAGGAGTTGCATCCCGAAGATTACTTTCCGACGTCATGCGTTGAAGTTAGAACCGTCAAATTTCTCGAACTTAAGACAGTCCACTCCAAGAGTCCTCGCATGATCCATGGTAGATCAAAATAATGCTTTAAGATTGTTGGCGCCTGTGGTTAAATCTAGAATAGTACAGATATAAAACAGTAAAAACTGAACAGAAAATTGAAGTACAGTAATTTAAAATATTCAAACTCAGCTGCTGTGCGTTTGTAAAACGCTGTGCTTAAAGCATTATTTGGCCTACTCCGGTGCAAGGATCCCAAGGCCAAATTGCTTCCAGGAACAGCAGTCCAGTACTCGGTGCAAGGATCCCAAGGCCAAATTGCTTCCAGGAACAGCAGTCCAGTACTCTGGTGTGCACCAACCCAATACTGTCAAGATCTCCTCGATCTATAAGGCAAAGATCTCCTCGATCTATAAGGCAAAGATCTCCTCGATCTCCTCAGGCAAAGATCTCCTCGATCTATAAGACCTTCTCGGTCTGGGCATTGTTCCTACTAACACTAGCTATTCTACAATATATATATCTGTATATATTGATTGTTGTTTTTTGAATGAATTTTCCTTAAGGATTTGAGGTCTATTTATAACGTTTGGGAAAACACTATGCACTAATAAAATAATATATTTTACTATGCATGTGAGGCAACGCTCTTATTTTTCTTCGGTGGGACCCACCACTTTATTCAAAAATCAAATTTGGCCGCTTCTCTTTCAAAGATGATGGCTGTTTAAAAACTCATGGGCGGATGTTACTAAAAAACAAAAATATCCAACAATTATCACACACACAAAAAATAGAAAACATTTGCATTTTTGCACTCTAAATGCTTTACGGAGACCTGTTGCTTTCGCATTGTCACACTTACGTGTTCGAGCTAGTAACGTTGCTTCTCCATAACTGGTATAATGGATTGAAGAGCATACCTCACCTCAGGAACATGCTCATCGTTTTTTTTTTTCTTATTTTGGTTAGAGCGTACCGCCTATTCAACACAAGAAAGGAATAAAAACAAAGAAACAAGCAAGAAAGAAACAATCTTCCTTAGAAAAGTTTTCGAGGATGCCATTCTTGTTCTCTATCTTTCTCTGGGTCATCGAGCGAAGTTTTCCGTGACTGGTTGTTTCCCCTTTATTTCTACGTTTGTGCAACGACTCCTACTTAGTTGCTTGCTTGGTAAACGAAATATGCAATTGAGCAGATTGAAATGTCCAATTTTCGAGAGAAAAAAGAAGGTTCATTTTGCAAGAAAGCTAACCAACCAAATTCTCTCGCAATTATGCATCAATCATATTCAAACAGGACTCGTGATTGGATCAACCAAAACCAACCAGCATCAATCCCCCACGTGATATACCTTTTTTCAGAAGCATAACATGCCAACGGCGCAAGATGAAGTCATATCTTTTCTTCAATAAATACAGCACTAGGAAAGACGAGATCAAAAATACCAAACTGAAGTACTCGAGGTGACGCCATTGTTTCCGCTCATTTGTAGTCGCTACTTCCGCAGCTAATCAGCATACTCCATCATAACTATAGCCCATTTCAGGATTTCCAAGGTTTAGCGTAAATCCTACCAATGCACTAACAGATGTACACGTGTAAAGTTTATTTCAGAAAAAATACATAACTTAAAAGAAAACAGATAAATATAATAATACCCACTGCAAAATTTCATCAAATAATCAAAATTGATACACTATACAACAGTTGCCACCTTGACAACCTTAAATACGCCTGCGAAGAGGAAAACAAGGCCTCCATGATCAGACAACAGGGAAGCCCCCTGGCAATACTTTCCCTTTTTCTTTCTTTTTTTCCATCCTATTTGGCAATTTTGCGAAAAATAGAGTGCAGATTTGTAATCAGCGGTCCACCACTAGTACACAACAAAAGACTCTAAAGACCACCTCATTAATTAATCGTCATGATTCCTTCGAGTTCTCTTCTTCCGTTTATCTTCCTCCCTATACCTAACCCGGCGCTCTTCCCTCTGACGTTTCTTTGTCAACTGCTCGTCCTTAGCCTTCTTCGCTTCATATTGTTTCCGCTTCTCCTGTTCCTTGAGCTTTCTCTTCTTCATCTGCAAAGAAACCAATTTATACAAGATAATGATCCAACAAAATCAAGTGAAGACAATGCAAGATTAATAAAGAGAATAATATGCACTAAAGGAAGATCAAAATAAAGGAAAAGGCATACCTTTTCATTCTTTATCAACTGAAGGTGCTGCACAAGGGCATGAACCTTGCGTTCATGAGGTTCCAACACAACAGCTCTTTTATTTTCAAGAAGTGGTCTCTTGCGTCTAGGCATGTCCTTTGGTTTGGATGCAAAGGGGAGAGCTGCTTGAAGTTTCGGTGGAACCACCAACGGGTTGAACTTTCTTGGTTTCCGCTCAATAGGCTATGCAAATGGAGAAAATTGTAAGCAAACAACCAATTGTTTCTAAAAAATGATCAACAAAGTTCTAAGAGAAAAAGGGACCTTATACACTGAGTCTTTATCGTGTGGAATGGGGAGATTGTTCTCCCACCGGAGTTCAGCTACTGTTTTCATGCCCTTCCAAGCTTGGTCCGGAGCCTGTAGCAATGTTGTGACAGGATTAAAGAAGCGAGGTATGTCCACTTGAGTCCATGCACGCAAGAAAACGATATCGCTCATTAGGATTCTGTCCTCAAATGTGCATCTTGCAATTCCTTCTTTTGTGCTTCCTCCCATTTTCTTCGGTTTATTGCCCAGTTCCGCCTTAGCTGCCTGTTGTAAATGTAAATTACTTTCAACATTAGTTACTTTCAACATTAGGAGTTAATATCTACATGAAATTTAAAATGTTGGGGTTTATTCCATAAAAATATTAGAACCAATCAAGAATATCAGTTATAACCAGATAGCACGAACATCAGCTTTTTGCTAAATGTATCAAGTAAGATACACCGAACCAACATTTAGATTACAGACAGATTAACACATACCTTCTTGACCTGTCCCCGGATGCCACTAACGGTTCGAATTGCTGCACCTTCAAACCTAGCAATCTCAAGGTCTGATGTGAACATGTCCTTAATTAATGCTGTCTTTTTGAAAATCTTGCATGGATAACCAACAAGCTTGATCTTCTTCATTATTCGTGCAGCATGATTAAACTCAAGAATCACACCAGTTGCTCTTATCCGAAACGCTGCCTGAATAAGAAATTTTCACTGAGCAAAATAGTACTGCAGTATTCATGACTATGAAACAAATCTATCTTGTTCAACTTACTATCTCAAATTAACAATACTATACAGCCCAAAAAAAAGATAAACAACAACGTTTTCCAACAATACATATATTTTGCATTAATTGGGTATAAATTACATGGAACATCACAGAAGTTGTTCATTGAATAACAAATCTAGCAGTACTTCTCAAGGCCCTCGCATTACACGTTTGCGCCTTGCGGGCAGGAAAACCGAAAGACACTGCGGAGCCAGAAGCATTTCCACCATCCCAGCCAAGTATGCAGATGCTAAGTTCATTATTTTAGTATGTTGATGATGTGTTAAGTGCCTGTGTTGACAGTAACCATCACAGGAAAGGTCCCAACTAAACAACTAGTCTAGGCCAAGATTGCACTAAGCTTGCTCAAGTGATCATAGCCATGTTGGTGTTATAATTTTAATCAGCTGACCCTAATTGTCATATCAAAAGATGTGAGTCTCACCTCCTCTATATCTTGGTAGCTCATTTTGCTAAATGAGCTGCCACCTCATATAGCACAAGAAGCATGAAAATAGTATACAAATTTAATCATAGAAAAACATGTAAGGTTCGAACACAGTTACACAAACCATAACCAATCACTGAATGTTGTCTCATGGTAAGGGTTTTCACGTGTATCAGTGCATGGTCTTGCAAATGTATCGGGTATGTTTTAGAATTATAACCCTCAACCCTCACAACTTTGGAGTTTTGGTGTAGTGTCAGGGATCTTCGACAGCCTAAATATTATCATTGAAAGCAATTATATTTCGTAAGATTATTGCTTTGAAATACTTTAGTAAGATTATTGAATCCCATACGAGGAAACAAAACCAAAAAAACAGACTATGCAATGCTTAACGTATGAGAGGATAAAGCAAGTATTAAGTTTACTTGATTGTTTGACAATTTCTGAAATGCTACAACTCCAGTCGTCGGAGGTGCAAGAGGACCGTAAAACATCGCCAAACAATGCATATGCTCAGGAGTGTACTTGAGCATACGATGACGTCCATTTTGATCCTCAATGGCATAAATAGGAATTGTCTGGTAACGCCTCCAACCAACCGAAACAATTAACGGGTCTCTAGTCTTCAGTATTTTCTTGTGCCATCTGTGCCGCTTAAAACGAGCCTATAACCAAGGAAACAAGCATGATGAGCATGGAATGGGATGGAAACCCAATTGCATGTGTATTGCATGGATATTACATAAGCCATGTCCTTCAATTAAGTGACTACATGTAATAATGTAATAGCAGAAGGCATCTAAGAACCTTTAAAAGAATTATATCCAAGGCATTAGAAGGTTGAGCTCTATACGAGATAAAATACCAAATGAATACGTCACCACTCCATTTACAAACAGTCATACCAAGATTCACAGAAAGAAAGCATTCCCTTCAGGATTTCTATTGATTGGACAAGTCCCCAGCTCTTGACTGTGTTTGATCCATATAATCTTAATAAAAAGTTCTTAGCTGAATAAGCATGGAAAAAATGTTTAAAATGCCATGGTAACTTCAGTTACTTCGAGAGTTTACAGTCTCAGTCCACTTGGATTGATGTTTTCTAGCCTACTCCATCGCAGGATTTCAAAAAATACAGTCTTCTCATTCCTTCAGGTAATAACTTCAGTCAATCACTTCATCTGGACTCGGTTATGGTAAGAAGCTGTAAGATTGTGAAGTACATTCCATGGTTAGACACTACGTCAAGCTCACACAACCTATATTTGTATCACCATCTACTGGCTCCTATTACTTAAGCTTCACCTGAGGTACAGTTTGTTTAAGTTGATAATGAGGATGTTACAGAGTTTCAACATGTTCGAAGGATGCAAAAAAAACTGGAGACAAAAATCGAAATGCATGTATACTTCAGTGTTGCACTGGTTAGATGGCTAGTGTACTTAAATATATTGCACCACAGCAGCCACATCAATTTGGACAAGAATGGCTTCATTTTTTATATTTTCTTCAAATGTCTTAATGATGTTTCACATTCTTAATCCTCAGTTTTCAGGTGAAACAATTTCAACGTGAAAAGAGGTAAATAATGTAAGCTAAATCAGATGGAAAGTTTCGCCTGCTTTACGACTTCCAATAAAAAAAATTTGCTACTCTATCATATAACGAATACCTGATAGTACACTTAAATGCAAATGATCAATAGCAGTGAAATTTGTCAACAACAAAAAGAAATGTCAAGACAAAAAACCAACCTGCATGTACCCAACATTTTCCTCCCCGAGACTGATACCTCCAACTAGAACAGGATGTCTGGGATCAAAATGTTCAACCATCTCAAAAGGAACGTCATGAACCTCTAACCGCAGGTAAGTTCCAGTTCGGAAGCCCTCCACCTCCACTCGTGTGGCCTCATCAAGTTCATTGAGCTCCGCTATGTTCATCTGTTTGCGAAGCTCGATCTCCTCCTTCATCTGCAAAATTCACGTATTTTAGCAGCTGAATGCTCACAACCAGTTTAGATGAAGATGTAATATGAAAGCATACTTTGTCGAAATATCCACCCTCATGGGATTGATTTTGGTGGAACTTTTTATCGGTTCCCTTGTCTTCGTCCTCATCTGACAACTCCGATCCCTCATATGTAGTTTGTAGTTAAGGCAAACCATTCAAGAAACAGCTATATCAAACAACAAAATCCTAAAATGGTAAAAAATTATAAGATTTGCTTTGAGAATTTATGACTTCAATGGAAGATTTGTAGCTTCGTGATGGTGATGGTGATGGTTTTCTTTTTCCATATAAACTGCAATGCCCAAGCAATCTTTTTAAAAAATTATGTAAGGGTGAAACAATGATAAATAATTTCTGCAATATGCTTTACTTGATGATATGAACCAAAAGAGAATAGCTATGCAGATCAAGAAATAACTGAAAACAGGATATTGAGCATCAAATCTTTCACGAAGTGCAAGCTTTTTGAGCCTCCGCTTCTCCGCTTCAGGGTCATGTTGAGCATTCTCTTCAACGTTATCTGAAAGCTGGCTCTTGAAGACCTTCCCCGTCTCAACATCTTCAAAATCAGCATAATCCGTTGTGCCATCATCGCCATCAGAATCTGCTGCTCCACCTCCAGCCCTAAAACGCTTGCGGATGCTCCTGATAAGGTCTTCATTAGACCAGTCTTTGAATTGAGCATTTAACAATTTCGAACAGTCATCAGCATCAATATCATCATAACCTGGTTTCTCACTCAGTTTCTGCAGGTAAACATTACAAGAAAAAACTTCTCTCAGAATATTTTCAGCTCCTTGGACAATATTGCGTGTACCAAAATAATATAAGGATTGCAAATTCATTATACACGAATATTTCAATCGGCAGGTGATATGCTCCAGCTAAAAGGAAGGTCTAATAACAATACTCAAGAGTCAAGATCAATGGAAGAGTATCAATTGTACCTTCTTTCTCTCCCCTTTTACGTAGAAGAGTTCACCATCACTATCTTCACTATCACTGCTACCTTGTGCATCCTGAACATTGATCATGGAGTTTGATGCAGGATGACTGTACACAAGTTGTGCCAAATTGGTAGTTTGTTTTGACATTCTGGCATTGAGCGTCTCTTTCCATTTTGAATCATGTTCTACCTCATCATCTACACCTGGGTTCAAAAATAAAATAAAATAAAAGATGGAAAGGATTTATTCGATTATCTGCAATTGTAGCAAAAGTGATAAGAAAATGTTGAAAATTTCAATGTTCCCGGAACTGCTCTTTTGATTTATACTGTATTTTTCATGCAATGACTATGTACTAGATTTTGACCACAATAATCTAGAGTCAAGTACACGTGTTGTCTTCAAGATTTATATGAAAGAATCAAGTGCACAGCAACCAAAGAAGCTAGATAAAAATTAATATACAACAAACGATCAACACTATGTACTAGATTTTGACCACAATAATCTAGAGTCAAGTACACGTGTTGTCTTCAAGATTTATATGAAAGAATCAAGTGCACAGCAACCAAAGAAGCTAGATAAAAATTAATATACAACAAACGATCAACACTATGTACTAGATTTTGACCACAATAATCTAGAGTCAAGTACACGTGTTGTCTTCAAGATTTATATGAAAGAATCAAGTGCACAGCAACCAAAGAAGCTAGATAAAAATTAATATACAACAAACGATCAACACCTTCCGAACTGAGGTCCTCCGCACTTTCCCCTGAACTTTCTGAAGTGATATCTAACTGGTTATCCGCATCATCTTCTTCGGAATCCTGCAGAACGGTGATAGGACATGAAACTGGCTCAAGTCATGGTTATAGTTAGAAATGGAAGGAACATAAAAATTCAACAACCAAACATTTCCTAAATTAAGTGTTAAGGAAAGCCATGCTTCAGACCCAATATAGTAAACATGTTTCACGTGGAAACAACTTCATGTAATTGACAACAAGCATGGACAGAATACTTTTGTATGAAATCAGCACCTTAAAAAACATTTCTAGCAACACATAAAGGCAACATATTTTTTAATATTAATGATATCTGTTTTATGTTTTTAATATTAATGATATCTGTTTTATGTAATATATCTCAATTAATGATATATCAGTTTTTAAAAAAACAGGTAAAAGAGAATTGTAACCAACTACATGATGCACTATTTACCAGGCAGGACATGTCTATAATTCTAGGATTATACAAACTAATAGTACAACATAAAAACTGCAGAAATATATTATGGATCCGCAATAAAGAATACACATATCATACATTACCAAAGTAATGGATGGATTAACAGCTGAATATCGAGTGTTTTTTAACACGCTGGGATAATTAAAATAGGACCTTAAGATAATGTAAAACGATAGAATCTTGGTTGGTATTTTGAGGGATCAGAAAGAGATCTCAAGTAATTAAATTTCAGGGAAGTGAAATTGAAATAGTATATAGATAAAGCAACACAAAATATGGTGATAAAATGATTTTTTTTTCATCACTTAGAACTACCAGCTACTTAAGAGGAAACTAACCTCGCCACAGTACGAGAGAATAATAGTAAAAAGAAGGCCATTTGAGAGAACAGTGAATTAAAATTAAAACTAGCATAGTACTAAATCCCAGTATTTTGTGCTTAAGCACCATAAAGTGTTATAGATTATCATATATAACACATAAGATTAAATACATTTAGATGACTCATGGCATGACTCATGAGATGAGTCATGACATATCTCACTCTATATATATGAGCTCCCTCTCTTATGGAAAGGTTAATGAAAAATTGGCTAAGTGATTTTTTTTCCATAAGAGAATAAAAGAGAGCTCTACCTCTAACTAAACTCTAGCAAACTTTGAGTTAAAGGAAGTAGTAGAATTTTATAGTAGCCCGGGGTGGATATCTTGCCTTGTGTCTCAAGAAGACTCTGATTTTATCAAGCTCACTTGAAGACTTGGAGATCCACTACAAGGAGGTTTACAACAATAAGGAGAAAGAGCTAGGGGTTGTTTGATCTACCATCGAATCACGCTACGAAAGTAAATCTTCAAAGCTCTTAGTTGCTCTCTTTTTTCATAGGGATCATGTTAGATTTAATTAGGATGGTCCTAGCTTGTTTTTCATGCTCTCTACATGCTTAGTATTATTTACGTATTCTGCATGTATTTAGCACGAATTTCCAACATGGTGTAGTTATGTACTTTTCCAATAGTTGTGTCAAGTTAGAGATGCGCAATATGTGAAACGGTGTATGAGTGACTGATGTTAAATAGGTAGTGACTCTATATTGCACTGAGATTATTAAGTGACATTGACATTGAATTGCTACTTTTAATAAGGTAATCTGAATGCAACTGTTGTGAGATAAAGAATATAAAGATAAGAAAGAACTAGACTTCGCAACATATTCAAAACACAAGAAGCAACAGAAGCATGTGATAAACGTCATCATATACAAAACTCAGTGATTTTTCTTTTAATTTAATCAAGGGGAGGGAAAGCAAAAGGAAAAGACATCTATGCTACTTGAAAAGTGAACATATTTTCCTCCAGCAATAATGAAACACCCAACGAAGCAGTAAATCACATGGATTCTCCAAAAGAACTAATAAACCTTCATGTTGCATTCCAAACAATTTAAAACGAATAATTGAAACTTTTGAAGGAGAAAACAGCTATCTTCATTGACAAACAACTGCCTTCTTCCAGTTACAATAAAATATCATGAATAATAGGAAGGACAGATAATGATAAAATCTTAAACATACCTCTTCTTCTATGCCATCTTCATATTTTGAGGATATAGCCTTTCTTCTAGACCTTCCATTATGGTACTCGACTTTTTCTTTCAAGTTATAGTCAAGAGGATTTTGTCCATCATTTTCATGCTGGTCATCCAGAGCATCGTCACTTTCTTCATCAGAATCATCAGCATCACTTTGTTCTGTGATGATTTCATAGTCAGCTTTCTCTGAAACTCCTTCACCACCAATTTGATTAATATCCACCTGTTCTGAGACATTAGCCTTCCCCTGATCTTTTTCAACTTCTGATATATTATCCGCCTCATTACCATTATCCTCTGAAACAGCAAGATGTTTTCTACCAAAAAGGTTGATGAAACTTTGTTCCAACTTTTCATCAATGGAATACCTCGTATTCTGCAGTGTTTTTACCAGAACTTCACCGACATCACGATCCTTTCCTGAGGAAAAACGAACATATAAGAGGACTCACAACTCGCTTGAAAAAAAATGAAACACATAACAATAAAATATTAAGCTGTATAGTTCTTTTTTAAAAAAATATTAACACATATTGAACCTTTGTGGGAAAAAGAACACAGCCAAGTTCATTTACAGACAAACACACAAGGCCAACAGAAACTCATACAGGAAAGCCGACTCCTCGTTTTATTTAACCAGATACATAATGGGCGGCATATCTACATTTTTAGTAAAAGCACGAGCACAGTTGTTCATCACAACATGCATATCGAAAAACTAAAAACATGTGTACGATTAAACAGGTTTCAACTATCAAGTTTATGCCACCGCATAATCTTCATTCAGAACCAACCNGCCCCCACCCCCCCCCCCCCCGCTAAAGAAAGGAAATAAAAAGGAAAACCCAAAAATGGTTGTATCACAGTGGTGATGGGGTTTCCCCCTCTTTTACACTTTTTTGTGTGTGGGGTAGTCATGGATGCTTAGGAAATAAATCTGAGGATCAAAACACAAGGTATTGTTAGGAAGGATGGAGGGCCCAAAGAATGAAGGGATGCCAGATTAAGACCGCCAATACTTCAGTGGGATCATTTAGCTCATATTTGGGTGCAAAACCCATACCCTTGTGTTCTCATGAACAAGGAAAACATCTAGAACAAAAGCAAACCTAAAAAAACAAAAGGATTTGCATGGTTTGGCCAAAAAAAGGCCTACATCGATGGAAGAACAATGTCGTATTTGATCTTTCACTATGTATAGGGAGATAACAAATACAAATACAATAGAGTTTTTCCTTCAAAAGGAAGAATGCATAGGCTCAAAAACCTCATCAGGAATTTTTGGGGATGATGGGCACAAGTCAACCCCTACAGGCTCGAAAACCTCATAAGAGTTACGAACTTTTGCGGAAGATGGGCTCAACACCTCCCTTTATTTTCTTTATTTTTTTATTTTTTTTTTGTAGAGTCAAATAGATCAAAAACATCACCAAGAGTCTCTTAACTTTTTGGGAATAAGAGCAAAGAGTCATTTTTTTTTAAACGACAGAACACTCCAACCTACTTCATCCCCTTAGGGCCTCATGAAATGACAGCTCCTGGGCTCTCTCCATATCATCAGCAAAGGGGCATCAGCCGCATCACTTATTACCACTTTGTATCCTACTATCCAAATTAATTTGGGTCAACCACAAAACTTTTCTGTATACTGTAAAATTCCTTTATCAATTATTTTAAATGAAGTAAAATTCTAAGAGATCATACCTTAATAAATAAATATCTAAGGTAGATGACCAACTTTTATGCCTCAAGTCTATCTCCAGACACTAACACTAAAAGACACACACACACACACAAGCGCGGGCGCGCACAAAAATACACAAGAGGGAAGGAGGGGGAGAGATTAGTTTCTGCCCTGAACATCCTCCATGCTGCCACCCTATCCTCAAACAATATTAATCTGTAAAAGTTAGGAAGAACAGTTGTGTGATGCATTTAACATATTATTAGTACCTTACCAAAAAAATCAAAAAAGCATTCCCATCTTCACATAAGTAATCACCTGTTATTTTTGGTTAAGCGTAATGCCACCTGTACAATTAAGTATTATATTTGAAGGTTATATACGTCATTTCCTACCAACTTTTATTCTTGTATGTGTATATGAATGAGTTGACAAATATGAATGTTGATAAATATGTATGTATAAATTTTCAAATAAGAACTCTGTTGTGGGAACTTTGCCAAGAATATCATAATGGATCATCCCATGGATAATTCACACTATTCATTTTGTTCACCATGTCCAATGTTGTGCATTATACCTCCCTGCTAAAAGCTAGATGCAAAAATGAAAAAGACAAGTTTCAATAATAGAGAAAAGATATATCATTTGATGAATGAGACATGTTATCTAACTTCTTGATCTTCCACCAGACTACTTTAGATACGAAGATTAAGATGAAGTTATTACAATGATTAGTTTGCAAACTAGTTCTCAATTGAAGACTCCTTGTATGTGTATATATGTATAACCAACTTGACATACCTTTTCTTGATGGTGCCTCATTTCCATCAACATTTGAAAACTGAACAAAGTGGTCATTTATGTTAATGTAAACAGCATCCTTATCATAAAGAAGATCCCCAAGGCCAGACATGGGTGCATAAAATAGTTTTTCCTTGTCTCGCAGACCCTTTTTCTTCGCAGCTGATGGCAAAGGACATGGATCCACAAGACTTGCCACCCCAGCCAAATTAAAATCACCTGCACCTGCAATATGCACCTGTAAAAAGGTAGAGAATTATGCAGCTCAGTGCAATGTTTCAGAAAGGAAAAACTAAATGTATGCTCATCTACACAATCTTTTAGAAAAGGTAATTAAAATTGTCAGTTCATCATTTTAAGTTTATTTACTATCAAATAGTAGGATTCTATCTCTAAAACATACAAACAAAAATCCAATTGCTACAATATTAGAGAATAGTCAAATAGCACCATCTAAAAAAGCTATATAGACTTAGAAGGAGTTACCTTGGTACCCCTCTTCAAATTACACCCTCGAAGATAACCATATAATGTGATGTTCCGATCACATTTTTTATTCAACCTCATTCTTTCAGGTGGAGTAACATCTTCAAGACGATCAACAAGAAGGTAAGGATGTGAAGCTCTCCATGACAATGGATGGTATTTCATAACTGAAATAAACCTCGCAAGGTTGTGGACTTCACGTTTAGGGTATCTGTCATGGACAAGTCAGCAAGAAAGTTAAAGCAACATCTACAGTAATTGCACCTCAGAAAATTTCTTAATAAAAATGTATAGAAAACAGCTGACAAAAAGCAGCAAATAAATAAAAAAACAAAGTACAAATTAATAAAAAAACATGGTACTATCTGCTCAAACATTACAGATATTTGATGACACCTGCTGGACCTGGAGTCCTAAAATGATCCATATAAGCTATGATAGTATATACTCATGCACTTACTTTCCATGAATGAGGCCAGATAAATAGAACAGCTTTGCCCCTTCTCTTATTTCAGTCCAGAAGCGATGCTTGAGACGCTGCTTAGTTTTTCTTAGTTTCTTAACATCTTTAAATTTGTCAAGATGTGTCAGAACTCCCATTACCTTGGGAAAACCATGGACTTGCAAGATATTGAGAAATTCAAAAGTTTCCTGCAGATGGGAAATACATTAGCGACTTACTGCCAAAAAATGCAGTACCATAATGAATAATGAAATAGCCAAATTGGAAATGAAATAATGTAATAACTTAGAAGCTGATTAAGAATGGTACATCAACACAATCAACCCATCAAGTTGACAAGGAACATATACAGCATTTGATAAAAGCATCGGTCGAAACCTTATTCAATGCCCCTACCATGGCAACTAGTCACATCACCTAGCAGGTAGACCCAAACAGCAGAACATATGTTGATTCCACTAGGTGTCTAGCTATTCTCCATAGTTTATCATCTAAAAGGCTGTATCAATCTAGTGCCTTAATGCGCAACAAGGTTGATTAGGAATTGTCATAAGCATGTAGTTTTGTCCTACTATGACGCTCACCGTCTGATTCCCCTTGTTACCAATGCAATACTAATGCATTTGGAAAACAATATTAAAAGTACATACAAGTAAATATATAAGATCTTCCTGGATCCTGACTGAAATTATATGATGTTAAAGCTCCTATACTAAATGGGTTTGGATAGTGCCAAATTGATATGAGTCAATCCAGAAATCTAATCAGCAAAATAGCAAGCATGATTTTAAATTGCTGAGCAGGGGAAAGCGGGTAACGAGAATATTAAAGTCAAAATGAAAAAAGAAACTCAGCAATTATGAGGGAAGAAGCGTCCACCAATGTTTGTCTCACCATTTCAAAACCGTAACTTCCATCAATTAGCAACAGAACAAGGTCCGCAAACTTTGCAGCATCGATCATACCATTTATATCATTAGGACATTCTACAAACTGCACTCTTCTCTGCTTCCCTACAAACACAAAATTG